CATTCTTGAAAAAACGGGCTAGTGTCGGGGAGTCAGGGAAAGATTCGCAAACTTTCGCACAACATCAGACAAGAAACATAGACGGGTCTTTTGAGACGCTGGCGCCATCAGAGCGTTCTGCTTCTCATCAGGCATGCTGGGATCAACAAAGACCACCTCAACATCAAGTAGCGAAGGGCAAGAAATGTGATCTGGGATCAGAAGCAGCAGCTGAGCCTTAGTTGATTCTTGGATGAAGTATGCTTGATCTGCCTTTGTCACATTGCGCACAGCCCAAGCAGGAACCACGACCTCATGTGACATCACATCAGCTGGCTGTGAAGAGACATAGAATGGAACCCCGAAGAGAGTGCACAGGTGGAAGCCCTTTGAATCCTTCGTGACCTGCGGATTCTGAGTGATTGGTCCTGCAAAGGGAAGGCACAATTCTGAGGGCACTGGACGCTTCACCTGAACCCTGCTCTTGTTGTCCGTCGTCATGAGGTTCACAAAGACACTGTTGTTCCGGACTGAGTACATGTCAAAGGCCTTCCACAAAGCGCAAGTAAGTTTGTGCTCAAGCACCTTGAGACCCTGGGCACTGAAACAATCCGCATCGTCCATGTCCAAACTGCGTGCATGGTCAGAGTGCTGCAGGAACGTGGACCCTTTCTCTGACATGCCCACAAATGTGTTGATCGTGTCAATGTCAACTCTGCCGCCAGACTTGTCATCAGCCGGTTCATCCTGCTTCTGCTTCTTGGTGGTGTCCACTCCGACATCGCCTGTTTCTTCTTGGGCTCCTTGGACCTTGACCTGGGCATCCTGAGAGTCAGACTCAGCCTTGTGAAGCACAAGCACATCGCTTGGTGGAGTTGAAGTGCTGGTCTCCTTCTTGATTTGCTCAGCTGCAGCCTTCCTCTCAATCCCGGTATTCGTCTCGAGGAATTCCAAAAGCTCGTCAAAGTCTGAACAAGAAGAAAGCATGCGCACCCATGACTGCACCCAGGATGAAGGTGGCTGAAGATTGTCGAAGGCTGTGATCAAATGGACGGCGGCCTCAGGCTCTGACGATGAGGATGACGAAGGACTGCTGACTGCACCAGTGCTGGACGGAAACATCTTCATCAATGAGCCCAACTTCTCCAACAGCTTGAGGAAATTGGCGGGCACGTCGATTCCCCACGTAGAGAAGGAATCCTTTGCATCGATAAGGACTGTCAGCACATATCTGCTCCTCAAGGAAAGGAGAGACTCCAGATGCTTGATGGACTTGAAGACCTGCAAGGCACCAAAAAGTAACAGCAGCACCAGCAACCAGTTCATCAAAATTCATATATTCCTATCCCTACCTTTGTTGTACCAAATCTCACGGTGCACAAAGACATGAATACTGAACACCAACGGTAGAAATTGATATGACATGTCATGAAGCCATGATGTTGTGGACCAATTGACGGCCTCCTGCGTTCCAGATGGAAAATGCCCCCTGCTTGTGTAGATCTCCACAATGTCCATGCCGAAGGCCAGCCAAGTGAATGGAAGCGACTCCTCCATGTTCTTCTTGATTAAGGACAAGACGTGAGTCAAGTCTTTCGTACTCACGCAGGCAGCCGCTGAACCAAGAACCGGCTCAGACCCTTCCGAAGCAGCTAGAGCAGCTAGATCAGCCAAGGAGCTGCGAGGAACAGCGTGGAGCATCAGTGGCAAATGCATGAAGTCTTGCAAGAACCTTTGCATGGGACGCAAGATCTCTTCTTTCTTGTTTTGCATCACCATCATGATCCTGTTCAAAGCAGCATCTTCGTCGTCCTCATTCTCTGTTGCAACAGTCGTTGCTTCTCCGCCGGAAAAGGTCTTGCAAAGCACTTCTGCCAGTCTCAAAGCAGAAATGGATGCATCAGGAGAGTCCTTTTTGCCTTTCTGCTTGTCTGCAATGCCAGAGGAGCCCGCCGAGACAGGAAAAGAACCATCTTGGAAGGGTTGATCATACGACAGCTGCTCATGTGCCTTTAGAACAACTCCTTGCAATTCTGTTCGGAGGAGACTGTAGGCTCGGAAGAGTTTGCAGTTGACGACTGTCTCACCACAAAAAGCAAAGTTCAGCCAAACCATGATTGAGTAGCTCAGGGCAGGCTTGTACTTCTCCACCAAGTCTTCCATCTCTTTCTCAGGATCTCGGTCATCTCCACCTACATGGGAGGAATTGAAATGGACGGAATCAGGGTCTCACTGTCTCACTCAAAACAACGCTAATCAAACAAACTCCTAAACAACGGAGCAACTGAACTGCCAAAACATTCAACACATCAAGCCCGGCCAAACATCACACTGTCCAGTCCACTCCAGCCCCCAAACAACCCGACTCAACTCCAAGCCTGGCTTACTGTTCTTCTCCTTGTTCTTGTTCTCCTTGCCTGCAATCGAGGAGGAAGTGGTACCTTTGTCACGCTGTTTGTTGGCATCATCCTCGATCAATTGGCAAGCAAACAGCAAAGCTCGCAAGATGTCATCAAGGGCAGTGATGGGTCTGCTGCCATCTTGTTGGAAGGTGAGCACATTGACGTTGTAGGCAGCCTTTTCCCTTTCGTCATACCCCTTGAAAGCAATGCGCTTGAGGAGGTTCTTGGCGCCAGATGTGGATTCACCCTTGCCAGCTGATTCGGTCCGTTGGCGTTTTGGATCTCTCTCCTCATTGGCACCTGCATCACTGTGAGAACTCTTCTCAGAAGGAGACCCGGCATCCAAAGCCTGTTGGAATTCCAGCTTGATGCGCTTCTTCAAGCTGTCTTTGTCAACACCACCGTTTCGAGATTGCGTACCACCTGAACTTGATGATGAGGAGGTGAGCTTCCGAACCACAGCGGACTTCAACATGGGCAGGTTCAGCAAGTTCATGAGGCGGGTGTTCTCGGTGCTGCCCTCCTTGAACACCCACTTGGGCTCGAACTTGACAACCTTGGATTCCTGGGACAAACCAGGACTCAAGATGGTTCAGGCCCAACAGTGGCTTCACACATCCAGCACTACTACTCTGCTCACATTCAATCCAAACATATCTAAAGAAGAAAATACGGAAATACATGTAATGCCTTGATCTTCCAATTAAACATTGTGGCTATGTTTAGTGCTTGACACGGTGTCAGGTGTTTGGTGGTGGTGTGGCATCAGCCTAGCTAAGAAGAAAGCAAAACAACAACAAGAGGTACCAATGTCCTGCTCCGCAGCACTTCCATTCTTGAAGGTCTGTGTCATGACAGGCACCTCGAGAGTCCAACTGATACATTAGACACACACACACACCCAGTTGAAAAGATGCCAGGACACACAATTGGAAAACGTCACGGTCACAAAAGTTCACAATCAAAAGACACCAAATCAAAGCGGATGATAGATGATAACGGGCAGGGCTGTCTTAAATCATATTTAGTAGCGTGAGATGATAGTTATGATTGATGATAACGATAGTCGCTTTATGATTGGAGGAGTGAAGCTCTGAACAACTGGGGGTCCCACAGTGAACTTCAACGCTTCGAGAACCACCATGGCCTGCAAGTTCTTGGGATAGTATCGACGCATGTGACCCATGATGAGCAGGATGATTGCATGCATTTGTCCAATGATCTTGGAAGGCGTCATGGATTCCAGGAATTCTACGTTCACATTGCACCAGTGTTCGAATTGCTCGCGAATACCAAGTCTGATCAAGGTGTGGATCACTGACAAGCTGTCTTTCACATGCTCCCAGCACGAAAATAGGTTGCAGTAATCCGCAGATCGGCTGGCAGCGAGAATGTACTGCTGCTGCATCGTCGCATACTGTGGGTTGTGAGACGTGAGCCTGGAGGTCGTAGCATGGTGCTTCCACGCCGCCTCGAGCGCTAGTGCCTCATCCAACACCTCAACGAAGCTCGTCCCAGAACCCTGATGAAACTCGTTCATGACCTTGATCAACTTGGACGAGATTCGGTCAGATGTGCCTGGATGCAAAACTGGCACCCTTGACAACCCCTTCGAAGTTGCGGCTGACACATAGATGTTCTCTGGCATCTCTGCATGTGCCCGGTAGTAGCTTTCCGCTCGGTGGTTGAAAGCCAAACAGAAAAGTGGGTATTTTCTCTCCTCTGTCTTCCATTGCATCACCGCTTCACCTACAAGGGTTCGAGTCGGGGTCGGGCTGGGAGGGCATGATGATGATGATGATGAGTACGGTGGAACCAATTCGAAGCGGAGGATGGGACACTAATTAAGTTAATTAAGCTATCTTTTGTCCAACATAACCCTGAAACCCTGCCTGAAACCAACTGAGAAAGACCTTCACTGAGAATTCTGTTCTTGTATCTCAAGACTGTCTTTTCCTGAATCTTTCGTGATAGGGGGTGTCTTTGAATTGTTCGGTATGCACACCCGTCTGAATCATCAGTGAAGAACCATGGCAACTCCATCTCACAGTCCCCAAACCACTGCAGGATGGCATCCACAAGAGGGGCTCCATCCAAGCTGCCGAACAGGTATTCCACGCTGTGGTTTGCGTCCTTGTTGTAGATGTGCATGACCTTGGCCTTATCCTTCGCAGGGTCCAAGCCGGTGAGAATGCCACTGACCACAAGTGGCGTCTCGTTAGGGCCACCACCTGCCTGGAGCTGCTTCTCATGTGTCGCATCTTTCTTGTCCTGGTCACTGCTAGCACGTCCAGCGTGCTCAGCCTGATCTTGTTGATGTTGTCTCTTCGACGGCGGCATGAGGCTGCTGCGTCTGCCAACACCAAAGAACTTGCCAAAGGACTCGTAGACTGGTAGTAGTCGCAAATGGGCAAATGGGCCAACCGAAGGTACCAAGTTTGGTACCGGCACACTCAAGGCTCAAGAGACCTAATGGATCTAGGCCACGAAGCCACAAGGCAACAGGGGCATGGTTAAGCCGTGAGAGTGCCAATTTAATATCCTGATGAAATCTATACTACTATATAGAGCAAGCATTACATTCCGAATTCGCCGAATTATCAAGTAGAGTGCTCAAAATTGAATGCGCTAAGCAGACTACACTGACTACACATGCACAAGTATCACACAATCACGACACACGCTGCTGAAGCGAGACCGAAACTGATTTTTGGGCCCTTGTGCACAAACAGTCTCCAGTTCTGCAGGCCACAGCAGCGCACGCACAGCAACTGTCCCGAACCTGGCAAACCTCAAATATATTTGAGTACAATAGAAATTGTCAATGTGTGATTCCTGTTCTTGCCGTGCCTCACGAAATATTCAACGCAGCCTGCAAACAAACTGGCCTGACACCAAATCATGAATTAGACTTCCTGGTCCTCAGTCCTAGAGCCCCCTCTCATAGCCAGTCCAGCCATATCACCCCATCATAGCCAGTCAAGCCATAGTCAACGTGGCAGTCAACTAGTATATTCAGGAGCAGGTCCTTTTGTTCGCAGCCTCAATCTCTTTCTTGGCACATGCTGCCGTTCGTGTTCCTGTCGGCGGCGCATGGACTTTGCTGCAAAAGCCAAGTTTGAGATCAGGCTTGGGACATGGGTGTACTTGTACTGGATCATGGTGTGCAGCTGTAGAGCAGTCATCACAAACAAATGCATGCTGTTTCCAGCCTGCTCGCACATCACTCTTGGAGAGCGGGGGGTGCATCTATCCCAGTTGAAGGAGCACAACTTGGCGAAAGGAATCTGTTCTCCTTTCTTGAAGTTCAGTATGCCAGGCACAACGGGGTATCCTGCCAGCTGCCAGAGGTCACTAGTTACACACTATTGGTAAAGCGGTAAACCAGCTTTAGAAACATGGGTTTGCATCGTGCTTTTCACTTGGAATCAACCTTGGACTCCAAACATCAACAATTTGACAAACTGGCATTTTTGTGAACCTGTCCTAAGCAGCTCAAGACTTCTGTGCCAAATATCCAGCGTGGCTGCTCCATGCTGTCACAGAACATCAAGTGGCAATTGTGGATCACTGTTTGCAGCGACCAGTCTGTAGAGCAGCTGCCATGTCCACTGTCAGGGTCCTGATTCAGGCTATAGCATTGATTCGGATGTTGAGCTTTGTATGACTGAAGGTACATGGTCTCTGTCTCAGTCAGGGCATTCAGGAAGGCTTTGGGATCTCTGATGTCGACAGGTTCTTCACACATACTATGGGCCAGTGAGGTCGGCCGCCGCATCGCCCAACGCAATTCAACCTCCGCTTCATTCTTGATAACTCCATCCACTATCGGGGTGTTCATAAAGAAATGTTCCCGCCATGAGTAGCACACTGCCCGGTGAAATCGGCGAAGGAAACGGCTGGCAGGGCTTAGTTCTGCCAAGACCTTGAAGCGATGCTTCATCACAATGAACTGGCGCATCCGTGCACACGCGCTTCCATATTGCACACTGTCTGCGTCCAGAACCTGAGGCATTGAGACATAGTCTATGACTAACACCCTATCATGGTTCAATGACGCCACATGCACAAGACTTTCCAGATTCCAAAAGTCCAAAGCATGAGAAGAAGGAAACATGCAAAGTAGAGCCAAAATAGATAAGTGTTGATTTTGATCATACAACATGTACTACGCAAAGCTAAGATTCCTCAAGCCAGTAAATATCCCCCAGGAATTCCTGAAACAAAGTTGGAGGACATCCCTTCACGTTCTCCTGGACAACTGAGCTTTCCTGACACATTCTCCTTTGTGCAATCCAGCACAATGTTGGTATGATTGTCGGGTCATCAGTAGCAAGGCCTACTCCCCTCTTAGAGTAGGCCACACAGATCGTTCCAGCCAGATGTCTCCTGGCTGTCTTTAAACGACAACTCTGATTGTGCTTGAGGCAGTGGCACTCAGGTTTGACAGCCTGATCTGATTTGATAGCTGGTCCCAGAACACTTAGCGCTAGATCTGGACGTCTCTGGAGCTGTGGCAGCAGCTTCTGGATCTCGGGCTTCCAGAATCCCTTAGAGCAAGCACAGCAGTGGCCGGCACCATGAACACATGATCTTCTTTTATATTTGTAGTGGCTGTGTCAGTCCTATCGACCTATCAAATCTCCACAATGCTCTTGGAAGATTACAAACATGTGTTGGAAACTTGGAACCAGCCGAAGAAACCAAGCTGAGTCGAAGTAGACACATGGTCATTGTATTTGTTGCTTTCCTGAAGACAAGACACATTGATGTCAGAGAAGAGGCAACCATCCTGGTTATTGTCCTGCAGAGTTCCTCCTGCACCATGGCCAGCTGATTTGGCTGGAGTCTCTGAACCCATAGCCAGGATTTCCTTCTGAGATTCAGGAAACCATTCACAAGCAGAGAGAAGACGGACTGGAGGAATGGTGATAGCATCAAAGTCGCCGTCATCAACCGCCTTCTGAACCCACCTTGTCAATTCAAACCTCAGGCAGTTTACCGCAGCAGTAGGGGCTTCAACGCCTCCCAGAGTGCCAGAACATCAAAAGTCAGTGACCTAGGACCCAGAACACGCAAACAACTATATAACTTATCAATATGTTCAGCGTAAGTGTGACACCAACCTTCCAAGCTAATGATCCGTATGTTCAATCTTCCCTGAGCACTATCATTTGAAGAACACCAGCCTGAGAAGGCAGTGCTCATCGAGTCTTCTGCAAAGGCATCCACCAACCTCTCAATCTCATCAGCATTGAGCTTGAAAAGACAATCCTCCCAGAATTGCATAGACTCCTCCAATGATTTGACAATGCCCCGGTTGCGGTCCGCAGCAGCAGTGACCGCCTTCTCTGAATCAGGCACTGTATGACCTGTGGGAGGAATGGATTGGTCGGCAGGCAAAGGAGCCACGGAATGATTGGAGGCACCAGGGGCCACAGAAGAGTCTGGCTCAGAAGCCTGAGGAGCAGCAACCCCAGCCTCTGTTTCAGGAAAAGTATCAGCGACCCACGTGGAATCAGGCCCTAGCCCAATAGGAGCGTCGCAAGAAGCTGGAACATCCAGGGTAGGAGCAGCACCACCACTGACACTGACCTCGGCCCCAGCACAAAGAACCATGGGCGCAGGCGCAGGCAAATCCAGAGTGCCAGGCACAAGAGAGGGTGGTTCGGGATCC